TCCCCAGCACATCACAGCGAAGACCAGAGGTCAACAGGCCAATGAAGGGCCTCCACTGCCCACACGGACCTCACTGTGCCCCCCATGGTGCCTGGCTATCTGCCCCCAGACCAGAGAGGCACCCACCGGGCTGGGCTGGGGGCCAGAGCACGTGGAGTGCTCCCACAGCTAGGCTGTGGGAATACAGGCCCCGGGCTGCTCAGAGTGTGGGACGGGGGTCCCTGGAACTGGGGAAGTTCAGGAAGCAAACATGATGCCTGTTTGCTGTCTCGAAAGATTGGCACGGGGGCTGGCTGGAGCTACCAGGTCAGGGGCAACAGAGAGGGTCAGCAGACGCCGACCTGCAGGCCCACCAGCCCAGGCCCGGGGACTGGACCCGCGGTTCTGAGGAGGGCGGATGCTGCGGGGCTCGGTGGCCCAGAGGCCCGGGAGGAGCCTGTCCATGAAGGCCGCCCACCAGACCTGGGGCTGAAAACACTGCAGGCTCCCAGAGCAGGAGCTGAAGAGCCACGTCCCTGGATGTTCACAGATGGACCCCATGGTGGGACAGGGTATCTGGGTGCCTCCTGCACCCGAGGGCTCACGGGCCTGGAAGCGAGGACAGGGTGCAAAGCATGCATGAGGGACCAGTGCTGGCTCTTTCGCTTCCTGTCTGCCCCCTAACACGGGCCACAGAGGCAGCACCCGCACCCAAGGAGCCTGGCAGGGCAGCAGACACCCCCAGCAGTATCATAGAGAGTGGGAAGGCTGGGGGTGAGGGGGTATGAAACTGAACTCCTTATCATCTGAGAAATGAGACTGTTCTGGTGGATGACAAGGACCAAGGGTGATGGGACCTGCCTGAAACGCAGTCTAGAATGAGGAGGTGGCAGAGACCTGGTGTGCAGTGGGTGATGGGAACAGTGACACCCCCGGGTCCAACCGTCCCACAAATAGGCTGCACATCCTCATCTTCATCACTTTCTTTGTAAAAAAATGCAAATGGGTCAAAAATGAGAACAAGGGAGGAGTGAAACAGAAAGGTAAAGGGCATCACAGAAACCTGGTCCCCCTCTCTCCCTTTCTGCAGAGGAGCGCAGGGCAGAGGGCAGGAGTTGGAATGCACTGGGTCCACTCAGCTGTGGTCCTGGCAGCACCAGGGAGGAGCCGCACTGGGGTCTGGAGCCCGCAGAGCCCCGCGCAGCCTGGCACCGCTCAGCGCGTCCCCACACCGAGGTCTGGAGGCGTGACTCCTCTCATTTCCCAAAGAAAACAACCAGCGGAGGTTCTTATGACTTTCTCCTACATGCTCATTAAATGTCTTCCTGGGCTGTCTGGCTATTAGTAGCCATAACCTGTGAAACTGACCAGGAGGCTGTGTGCAAGTTCACTGATTAAGGAGATTCGTAACACATAATTACAGAGGTGACCAGGAGCAAATTACACGGCACGTCACTATGGAAACCTCAAATAGTCTGTTACACAAGAGCTTCCAAATTCAGCTACTGAATATGCAGAATGAACATTTACAAACATTAGTTAAGAAAAAACTCTTTATGGCTTAAGAACATTCGGCAGATTACACAGAACATCAAATTACCTGCAGTGACAGAAAACCACTTGATCTCACACCAGCCTCCAAGAACACATGCTGGTAAAATTAGCATTGATTTTATCTCAAAAGACCTGTGACGAACGAAACCTATAGTTTTCCTCTGGATTCACTAACGGAATTGGCAAGGGGCAAGGAATACCAACATGCCTGCCGTGGAAGGCAGACAGTGATTGGCTTTCAACAAGCCACACAGTATGTTTTTCTTTCCTTCAGTGGGAAAAAAAGCAGGGCGGTATTAAGTTCCTCCCAGTAAAGTGTGAAAAGAACAAAGAGCGAAGCCGAGTGGGAATCCTGAGATAAAAACAGCAGAGCAAGAAGTGAGCTGGGACACCACTCACTGAAATGCATTCCGCGACTTGCTGATAAGCCTGCTCCATTTCGACTTACTTTTGTAAATAACTGAAAAGCAGTGAAATCTGACGAGCCAGCTTTCAGCACAGCCAGTAATTGACTGTGATGGGACAGAGCCCTCAGAATTTCTCAGGAAAATGAATCCCTTCACTGGACACCAATAACTCATGAACCACAGTTTCGATGCCCCTCACCTGAGGTCTCCCAGAGAACATCTGATTTCTGGACCTGAGTCTGCACTACTTCATTATCAACAGGAGTTTCCTGCCAACAAGCTGCAGATTTGCTATAAAAACCTTTAAAGCATGTATCTTCTACCTCAGATGTAGTCATCTTGTAATCTTCTGTCTGCCTTTTAAACAGACTCCTCACTGCCTACAGTGCAAGGAAATAGCACTTTCTTTAGGCTGGCATTATTTTATTTCCAGAGACACCTTCAGCTAAGATAGCAGAGAACGAAGACAGTAAAATACAGGCAGGGATAGAGGCTGAGGGTCATTCTCCTTCAATAGGGAGCTTTCCTGGGCTCAGAGCTAAGTGCTGGGTGCCTTTAACTCTCCTTTGAAAATGTGACACTTGATAACCTTCCTGTGAACTGTTTCTCAAAATAGGGCCTGGGCCCCGCAGCCGATCCCCGGGCAGGGAAACCCGAGCTGGGAGCCTCCTCGCTCGCTCTGCAGGATCGGCCCATCCTGGGCTGTGTGGCTGTCACCTTCAGACCTGCCACTGGGCACAGAGCTGAGGGCCAGCCCGGCCTGCTCCCCAAGCACCCTGACCCCCGAGCTCAAATCAGAGATAGTGGGGAAGCGTCATGCTTGTGAAACAGAGGGCGGGATGATCTGCCCACCTGGCACTGGCCAGGGGCCCGCAGAGTCTCGTTCACTCTTGGAAAGGGAAGGGGGGTGGGCAGTGTCCTCTCTTATGTCACTGGACTAGCCCACCACCTTCCCACTCCTCCTGCCTCTGAGGGCATCTATCTGGGTCCTGTCTTTAGCCCCCACCCCAAACAGCAGATCAAAAAGCTGAAGTGGACATCAGAAATTTTATTGCAAGTCTGTGATTTCCAGGGAGCAATCATATCCCCACAACCCAAAGCCAAGGGCTTGAAAGGGAGTCTTTGATGCTTCGCCTCGCAAAGCTGTCCCTCTGCCCACCACCCAGGACTGCTCCCAGGCTCCCAAACCACTGGCCAGGGGCAGAGTCTGGTTGGAGGGCCCGCCAACTGCGAGCCCCTCTTTAAGAGAGAGAACGGACAGCACATTACAAACGGAGATCACAGCGGGCGGCCCTGACAGTCCAGCCCTCAGGGTCCGCAGGGACGAGGGCAGGCTGGCCACCCGGCCCCGGGACGCCAGCACCCCCGCTTTGAGCCCTGCTGGCCACCCTCCTGACTCACCCTCCAGCAAGAGCACTCAGCTGGCTGAACAAGAAGGCTGTGACTTCCTAAGCATCATGAGAAAAATGCAGCAGAAACTCAGATATCTCTCCAAACAGGAACTGCCGTCTCCAGCAGGCAAGGGCCTCCCTCAAGCAAGCAGAGCCTACTCTGCTCAATACTCTGCTTGATTTTTCTTCCAAGAGAAAAAGAGGGGACGTTCCTGAAACCCAAGCTTCCAACATGCCAGGTCGTCCACAGCAACCTCTCGGGACTCACCCTCCTGCTGGGTGGGGCGCACGGCGGAGGGGGCACCTCCGGGGAGGGGCACAGCGGTACCCTCCCAGTGAGCAGGGTGGGAAATGACCCTTCTGCATAAAGCAGCTGAGGACTGACAGCTGACACGCTGCGGGGTCGCATTAGCCCACAGCAGGTGCGAACGTGAAGCCCCGAGTGAGCCTCAGCTCAGACAGCACCCCACAGAGGAGTGTGGGTGCTGCGGTGTGGGTCACTGGGTCCCAGGTGGGCCCCACACCAGCTGTCCCCCTGCAGCTCGGATTCCTCCCTGGAGAGAGGACCAGGGCTGTCCCCCCTCAGTGAGGGGCACAGTGAGCAAGGCAGCTGGCATGCGGTGTGTTCAGGATACAAGCCCACCTTGCAGCTGTGTCTTCCTCCAGCCGCACGGCAGCCAGCCCCCAGGCAGGACTTGCTTCCAGACTCAGGGAGGCGGCGGCTCCCTCCTGAAGGCTGAGCTCTCCCGGGATGTGCTGGGCTGGGATCACTTCACTCCGTCCATGGCGTTGGCGCTGAGGCTTTCCCCAGCTCCCCAGCTGGCCTGCCCGTAGCTGCTCCTAGCTGGCTCAGTGAGCAGCCCTGCCCGTCCTCCCACCCCCAGTTCTGACAACCCTGAGCCCTTGCCCATTGCTTCCTTCAAATAAAAACAGAAGTGAAGAAGCAAAAGGCTCAGGTTGGTGCCTGGAACCTCCCCTCGGGTTGAACATCCACCATCCAATCCCACAGCCTGGTCTACCCAGCTCTCAGCAAAGCAACTGGGAACTTGTTGATGACTCTTAAAACTTAACATGCTTTTCAGCTTGACTCTGACCTATTAATAAGAAAAAGATTTTAAACAAAACTGCACACTTCTCTACGATTTGCCTATGGTGTTTCCTCCCTACATTGAATAGAAAGTTACACTGAAAATTTACAAAAAACACTTAAAAGTGCAACTAGCAATAATGTTGAAAAATAAACTCAGCCAAGATGCATCAGCTGAATTTACTGTTGGGCTTTGCTGATGTCAATACACATAAACCAAATTGAGATCAATTAATTCCCTTTATCCATCTTTTTTTAACATAAACTAGAAAAGGTTACAGTAACAAGTTATGCTGTGTGTGTGTGTATGCGTGCACACTCATTCAGTTGTGCGCAGCTCTTTGGGATCTCATGGACTATAGCCTGCCAAGCTCCTCTGCCCTATACTGGCTCAATTCTGTTACTAGCTTTTGAAATCTGAATATTGTATCACCAACAACACAGAATTACCATTATATTCTGGGACACCCGGGGAAAAGCAGCAACTTTCAAGTGGAATAGTCTAAGAGTTGCCATTATTTCACAAACATTAACATGTTAGCAAAGAAAACAAAAGATGTATCAGAATAATGCAATAGTTACATGGTGTTTCAGATAACGACCAGGTCCCCAAGGAGGATTTAAGTCCTCAAAGCTTCGAGGGTCATCTTCTGTTTCAAAGCTGTTGGTGGTCTGCTGAGACCTGGCCACCAGTCCTGGGAAGGTGGATGATGTCACAGGGGCCTTTGTTGACACTTCAGGCTGCCAGGCTGTCCCCATCTGTGGCACTCCTCTCCAGGACCACAGGGCAGTGAGGCAGGAGGAAGAACTTCCACCCACCCAAGTGGACACCGAGCTGACATGGACAGTGCCCAGGATGGACTCCAGGCCCTGTTCCCTGCCCAGGCTGGGGGACAGACTTCCTGGTGAGGTCAGAGTCTGCACAGCCGGCTCTGAGAGCCTCCCTGGACACCCCGAGGCCTGCACGGCCCTGGTTTCATGTCACTGGTATAGGCCTGGTCACCCAGCATGTACACGGAAGCCATGTGACTATCGCTCAGGTTTGGTAAGTTTCGGGTGCTGAGAGACCTTCCTGAGCAGGGACAGCTGGACCTCACCGTGGTCCTTCCCCTTCAGCCCCCTCCCAAGCCCGGCCTTGGCAGAAAAGACCCTGCCTTTTCTGGGTTTTTTCTAAGATGGCCTCAGCACATGTGTCTTCCCGGGAAAGCCACTTCAACAACAGAGGGTGGATTTCTCAGCTTCCCTGTCGAAGACTACGGCATCTCAGGGCAGATGAGCTGTCACCTACACCAGGGTCACCCTTTGCGCACCAGCTCTGACAAAGGCATAGCCTCCAACTCAGCTTTCCTGGAGCTTTCTTATCCTTGCAGAAAAATGCTTGGCTTCTTTTTATAAGAGCAGGACACCCAGCAAATGCTGGAGGCTGGCAGGCTGACATGGCCAGAGGTCCTGCCACCCGGCTGCAGAGACAGAGCAAGAGAAGAAGCTGTGGACACCCTCTGGTGTCACATGCATGCAGTATCTCTCCGCAAACTGAAACAGTGTATATGTTAAGTTAAAGCAAAGGAAAAGAATATCTGGGCTTTAAATACACACCAACCAAGGCTTCTACTCAAGGCTCCAGTTCGGGTTGCGTCCAGCAGCCCCCCAGCCCCCCACCCGCCTGATCCAGTCCAGGACCTTGAATTTGTGGACTATCACTCATCACCACATTTTCCTCACAGAGAATTCTCCTCTCTTACCTGCTGGCCTCTCTGTCTCGTCCCTAAAGACCCACCTCAGGAAATCCTTCACCCAGGAAGGACCCCCAGTAGAAGGAGCCACACCTCCACCTGGCCGCCTTCCGTCTTGGGGCGCCCCTTCCTGGGGTTGCCTCCAACTGTTAATTTTGTACGCACATACTCTTTATTAAAAATTAAGGCATATACGGGACTTTCCTGGTGGCCCAGTGGCTAAGATGCCACACTCCTAATGCAGGGGTCCAGGTTAGATCCATGGTCAAGAACTAGATCCCACACGCCACAACTAAGACCCGGCACAGTCAAATAATAGACTAAAGAAACATACAGCTTTAAAAAGCTGAGTTATATGAACTTATGATAAATAAACTGCATTAGAAATAAGGGTGAGAAGCAATCAGCACTTCTCCCCCCCAGTTATTCAGTCATCTCTGCCATCGAGTTTGTTTACAGAACTGCAGCCACTATGCATGGCCAGCCCCTGACTCTGCCTCAGACCCGTGTGGGTAGCTGGTCATGGCCAGGCTGTCTTGTCGTCACAGCGGAAAGTGGGCAAATGCTACAGGTTGCGCTTTGCTCCTAACTGATGGGCCAGGTCGGGGTGAGCAAGCATCCTCCACAAGCAGCCAGGAGGTGTTTGGGGCTCTGTGGGCCATTTACTCTCTGCAGCAACTCCTCCCCTGCCTTCAGAACATGAGAACCGTGCGGAAATGAACGACTTGTGGCCCCAAAAAGTTTCCTTTATAGACACGGAGCTTTGAATTTCATGTATTTTTCATACGTCACAAAATATTAGTCTCCTGTTGTGTTTTTAAAACTCACTGAAAATTTAACAAACATTCTTAGACTGCAGGCTGTACCAAAATGGGATCCAGCCTGTGGGCCACAGTTTGCCAACCCCTGGCCTAGACTTCAGATAATGATGGATAAGATCTTCATGATGCAGATCAGAAAAAAGAGTGTCATGTGAGTACCCGTCACACTGAACAGCAAAACAGGTCAAGGAAAGATTCTGATAGAATTCATTCATTTGATCCAATTCAGCAAGGAAGTCTCACAGAATTGGAAACTTGTGAGGAAAATCTGAAATTTCAGTATTCACTTTTTCATCTTTATCTTGCTTGCTGGAAATGAAAGTGTCTATTGACATCACTCAGTAGTGCCTGTGAGCACAACCACGAAGTGCCCGTGGGTTCACGGGTTCTCCACAAGTTAACCAAAGGACGTTGATCTCTCTATGCACACAGCTTCTCAGTCGTATTTCCATAACCTGTGATGTGCATTTTAAGTCACTGTTTCCTGCTCAAGGATGCAGAGAAATAAGCCAATTTCCTATTTAAAAATAATATTGCATTAAAAAACCTCAAAATTAGAAGTTTCATGAGACAGAAGTCTTGATACCTGGCAAACTAGGATTATGACAAGGAGAGAAAGAAACAGGTTCAACACTCTGGCAGTGACACCAGCATGTACAAATACCTCCTCACGCTACACATTCCAGAGAGATAACAAAGTATTCTGAGGCCCCACTGCCCTCATTTGCTGGCTCCCACAAGGTCTCCCTGTCACGTCCTCCTGCAGGCCCTAATTCCCTCACATGGGATTTTACAGGCTGTCCTGGTGGAATCTCCCTGCATGCTGGACATTATAGAGAAGGTGCCAGAAAGTTCCAGAGGGGTGGTGAACTGGGCAGCTGTGTGCACCCAGGCTGGCCATGACCCCTCTGCACCTCCCATGAAATGACACAGTGATGTCTCAAAATCACCCCTTTTTGCTGCTATTTAATTTTATGATCTTAAGGTTCCTGAAACAAACAAAAAATGTCAACTTGGGGTTTGAACATGGCTGCAAACCCTGCCAGGACCTAAGCCTGTGCGTTTTGTAGATACTGGTGATTGGATTTCATGCCCACATGCTCCGAGGTAACACCCAGAGAGCAGCGAGAGGACCACGCCCTGAGCCGGAGCCCCAGCGCTGCCCCCAGGGTCGTTCTGAGGCACTTCCTCCCCAGAAGGCCTGTCTGAAGTCAACACTACTACCTTCGCATGGACAGATTCACCCAGGAGGGTGCCCAACACAGAGGATGCCCTAGTGATGGTCCAGACCCCAGGAAGCCCCCAAGCTCAGCAGGCGCCAGGAGTGAACAGGAGAGCAGGGGAGTGGGGCTGCCCAGGTCGAATGTGGACGGCTGTGTGGACTGCTGCCCGAGCGGACAGCTCCCGGGGCAGACACGCAAAGCGTGGGGCACTGATGTCAGCACAGGCCATGGAGCACAGAGGCGTCGGCGGGATGCTGCTCCCCGAGGTGGAAAGGTTTTGCCCCTTCGTGGTACCGACCCCGAGAGGCAGCAGAGTGGTGGCGTGCGGGGCTCTGGAGCCCACAGCTCTGATTTTGCTCCAAAGACTCCCCCAACACCTGGCTCAGTGGACTGGGAGTCACTCCACCTCCCTGGGCTTCAATTCCCAGGGGTTACAGAGGGGTGACTCACCCCTCTTCCAGCACGGAAGCATTATACACATGAACTGCAAACCACCCAAAAGAAGTCTGCATGTGTGCTTGCTCAGTTGCTTAGCTGTTCGCGTGCAACTCTTTGCAACCCCATGGACCATAGCCTGCCAGACTCCTCTGTCCGTGGGATTTTCCAGGCAAGAACACTGGAGTGGGTTGCCACGCCGTCCTCCAGGGAATCTTGCCAAGTAGGGATCAAAGAGGGGTCTCCTATATTGTATGTGGATTCTTTACAAGCTGAGCTAACAGGGAAGCCCCACAAAGGATATATAAAATTCTAAATAAAATGTCAGGCATTCCATCAACAGGTATGAGAAGCTTGCCATATACAAAGCATTTTCTAGGTGATCTGTGACATAAATCATCCTATAAGTAATGATCCCAGATCTTAAGAAACTTATACTCTATAGAGGTGATAAGGTAGACACTTAACTATGAAATAAGACAAACCATGTGATTAAGTGAGGTGAAATATGCAAGAGTATGGTTCATAAACGTCAAACATAAAGTACAATTTTGGTATTTTTAAACTATTATGGACATTATTAAATTAAGGAAACTAAGTGTGGTAAGAGACAAATCCTGCCTGCAGATTACGCTTTTGTAAGGGAATGGTAGCATATTGGTACTATATTAACCAAAAACTTAATTTTCAATCTGGCAAAGATCTCTGCTAATGCAAAAAAGACATCTATGCATTACACCATGTGGCATGTATGTATGGTTTATTTTTAAGCAAAAAGGACTAAGAATATCTAGTAGCATTTAGAAAATACTTCACACTTCTTTTTATCATTCCATGAATTTAAAACTGAAAACATGAAAAACTGAACATCTTAGTCTTAGGTGGAAAAGCAATTAGCATCTAAATCTTTCACTTCAAATAAATGGAATACTAAGACTGGTTGACTCTATGCTTGGACCAGGAAGACCCTGAGCACAGCTCATCTCTCCACAGCAGCTCCCACAGGGCCACCCCACTCTCTCCCCAGGAGCCTGGGAGCCCAGACAGACTGTCCTGGGCACCCATTATAAACGTCACCCATTGGCAGCAGGACACATGTGCCAAACAGCTCCCCACCCCACCGACATTTCTGTCTGTGCCTGAGGTGCCTGCCAGTCCCCGCCTTCTTACCTCCCACGGAGGTCACACCCTGAAACTCCAGGGATGAACTCTGCCCCCGGCATGCAGCCCAGCCCATGGTGTCAGCTTCAGGAGGGGCTGAACAGAACCGCAACCATAAGCCACCCAGCCTGGTGCAGGGGTGAGGCTCTAGATCAGGGTCAGAGAACTCCTCAAGCAGACTCATAAAATGCAGTAAGTGCTGATCAACGAAGCAGTCAAATGTGAACGAAGGAAAAGACCATTTCCCGTGGCCGCTGTTCTATGATACCGTGACTTAATACTGGTCCAATCAC